TCATGTTGAAAACACGAATGATCTAGTACATTTAATCTGGCTGACAATACCGAGGGCTGGTGATACACGTCCAAGTGAACAGTATAATGAGTAGTTTGTTCTTGAATTGCTAAAGTAATGAAGCTAGAAGACTCGGAAAGGATCGTAGAGGTGACTGTACTGGCGGTAGCCACAATAACCGCAGATAACAGATATGACCAGCTATAACTGGGATAACAAGCTGTAACGAGGATAACCGACTATGACCAGAATTACCGATCAAAAACTTGATTAACCCACGTTAACCCCCCAATCTGATTTCTGTACTCCGTAATACACGACATACGATTGCAGTTCCTACTTGACACACTTTGGTAGCTCGCTGTCATCCATTAGAAGGCATTTTAACAATAATTCGACTGATTTAGAATTTTATTAAAGGGATTTCTGATACAAATATTCCTAGTACTTCAGAAAAATATACGTTACATTATTGTGTACAACCAGTTCAGAACGTCTGATCAAGGCGCCTATTCAGTTAATCTGGCGTGAGAAATAGCTCGTACAGGTCATTACATAAAGGGCAATTGAAATAACTCATTTGAAGACCTCTTAGAATATTATAAAAACCCTGATAAACACTGATGTCCAAATTGTCAACAAATATTAAATAAGAATACAAGACAAGAACACTGGATGAACTGATGATAAAATGTTAAGGCTGAGTACCCTACCTTGAGGTCCGGGTTATCTATCATGCCAATCGTTGGACACCACAACATCTTTAGATCGTGTCTACGTGACATATTATAAGTAACGATATTGGTGTTTTGTCCTGTAGATGTAGCTGTCCTTTCACAGCTGTAGGCTGTTGCTCAAAATAACTAGTCATTTGTTGTACCTCGTCTTGGGCTGGCTATTAAGCCTTAAATAGTTATGTTGTGGGCAGTTTTCCTTGACCCACACTGCAGCTCTCCAATCTTGCTAGAGGCATATGTGTCCTCGTGTTGTCCTCGGACTTTCCACGTCGAGTCCTCCTCATATGGTCCTCAATATATCAAACGTTCTCTGACCGCTCATATAGGTCTTCCCACAAGGACCATCTCACCTTGTCTTGACATGACCCTTACCAACAGAATATCCCTATCGCCGATAATATACCTCGTCAACAAATACCCTTTGTCCTAAGCATATACCTCGTCAACACATTTCCCCTTGTCCTTTGAATACACCTCGACTTCATAGTACAGGGGTGGAAATAACCCATTGCCCGACGCCCCAGTCCAGTGTTTTTACTGTCGGGCAAACAAATTTGTATATCACGCTGTACCAGTGTCCAGTTGACTTTCAAATGTTATGTTGTTTATTTAAAAAGTCAACAAGAAAATAGGCCGGTATAGTGGAAAAATTATCAGGGCAAGTGATTTTACATGTTCCACTGTACCGGAGTACACTAGCAATTTTAAAGTTAATTCCACCCCTGATAGTATCCACTGTCCTTTCAATATATCTCGACATAATGGTATCCGCTGTCCTATGAATATACCTCGCATTGAAAGTATCCATTGTCCTTAGAATATACCTCGTCAACATAGCATGCCTTGTCCTTTGAATACACCTCGACTTCATAGTATCCACTGTCGTTTGAATACATCTAGACTTCAAAGTATCCATTGTGCAATGATCATCTCTCGTCTTGCCTTAAAAACATACATCGTGAACAGAGTATCCTTTGTGCCAAGAACGTACCTCTTCAACATAGCTTCCCTTTTCCTTAGAACATACCTCGTCTTAAGTGTAATCCTTGTCCTAAGAATACACACCGGTAACAGAATATCCTTTGTGCCAAGAATGTTCCTCACAATACAATATCCCTTATCCTAAGAATAAACACTGTCCACAATGAAATCCTTGTCGTAAGAACATACTCCGTGAAAAGAGTATCCTTTGTGCCAAGAATGTGCCTCACAGTACAATATCCCTTATCCTAAGAATAAACATCGCATACAATGAAATCCTTGTCTTAAGAATATACTCCGTGAAAAGTAACACCTTTTTGCCAAGAGTGTACCTCACAATACAATATCCCTTGTCCTAATAGTGTCTTTCATCAACAGAATATCCTTTGTCACAAGAATGTCTCTCGATCGTCTCCAAGATCAAACCGCTTCAACTGAGTATTCCTAGTGCTTATGAAGAACCAACATCCTGCATAGAGTATGCTTGACCTGGAAATACATCCCTTTAATCGGAGTGTCCCTTGTCCTACGAGTACACCTCTTTAATTGGAGTATCCCATGTCCAAAGAATATACTTCGTCAAAAGAGCATCACTTGTCCTAAGAATGTCTCTTGACAACATAGCATCACTTTGTCCAATGAAAATACGTCATCAACTGAGTATCTCTTGTCCTAGGAATATCTCTGTTGGCCCAACACTGCACCACTAGTCCTAAGAATATACCTCCTCAACATAGGATCACTTGTCCTAAATATATCTCTTGCAAACATAGCACCACTTGTCCTGAGAATATACCTCCTCAACATAGCACCACTTGTCCTAAGACAATAACTCCTCAACAAAGATCACTTTTCCTCAGACTGTTCCTTGTCAAGTGAATAAAGCGAGTCTTGAGAATGTTCCTTGCCAAATGAATGTAGCTTGTCCTGTGAATGCATTACGTCTTGTCTTACGTGTATCCCTGCCTTGATGTACCCCTTTCCTTCGTTGTGTGTCCAGGTTCTCTATAAGCATACTTTCTCTCTGAACTCGCTGTCGTCAATCACTTCATCTCAACTCGCTTTGGGTCAACAGATTATTATCAACTAGAATTAGCCTGTGAATCACACTGCCATCTGTCCAAAACTACTAATGAGACAAACTCCATATCAGACCTTGAATCTACAATCTAACATCGTAGAACCTTACCCGACTTACAATGTGACTTACCTAATACCTTGCCATAATTTGTGAACGATAGATGACACAGACCATATCCGAAATATGTCAGAATAGGACATACCCCATATCTGAACTATGAACATAATAGACCTCATATCTGAACTATGAACAGAATAGACCTCATATCTGAACTATGAACAGAATAGACCTCATATCTGAACTATGATCAGAACAGACCTCATATCTGAACTATGAATAGGACAGATCTCATATCTGAACTATGAATAGGACAGATCTCATATCTGAACTATGATCAGAACAGATCTCATATCTGAACTATGATCAGAACAGACCTCATATCTGAACTAGGAGCAGAACACACCTCATATCTGAACTACGAATAGTATAGACCTCATAGCTGAACCATGAATGGTTCAGACCTTACATCTGAGACAGACCCTATGTCTGAACTATGAATCAGACAAACGCCATATCAGAACTACGAATGAGACAGGCATCAAATCCGACCTGTAAATCAGACAAGCCTCACATGTGAATAGGACGGACCTCATAACTACCTCCGAACTTTTATAAAAGCAGACCTCATATACAAACTATGAATCAGACACAGATCAGAACGAGTGCTTCTGTTCATAGTATAGGTATAACCCTATTTTCTCGTATGCTATACATCCGATCTAAGTCTACACCATCCATGGTGCATAAACAAAACGTCCACAACCACATCTACTAGTCCGATTCCACATCATCGACATGTAACCTTGACGTTTGTGGCTAAAGCGTGCTTCCCCCAAGTTTCGCCTACACATCAGCCTACATTGTTTACATGTGTTCACAAAGAGATCCCCATCTTCACGCGTACAAGTTATGCCTACATGCACATGCGATTCGTAAGAAAGTCTTTCTGCTTTGGCTTCTGTGTAGGGGTACCAGGTACATAATATTCACAACAAAAACAAGGACAACGTAAATAGTCCTCATCAAACAACACAAACAGGATACAAACTTCGCAAACATCTAGGTAAGTAATAATTCAGTTCCATTATACATAGTGATTCGTATAGCCAAAGGTAGAGCGCAGGTATGTTTGGGCCTAGAAGGTTCCAGCATAAAATAACAGGGCACTTTTGGATTCGTCTCACATCGGATGAAGCTCACTGTATGTTACTGATGGAATCGCTGAGCTGTGAAGTTTGCAATCAAAATAGGGGGGAATGTAATAGAGGGTCGTTCCATGTCATGTCGACAATGGCTTATACCGAATACTGAAAACAATGTAAGAATGGAGCCCTATACGAAAACCACTTTAAGATTTTAATTTGTACGGATCAACTGAATGAATGAAATTGAATCACATAAAATTAGTAAATCTACTGAAAGAAGTGGGTATTAGTTCAACCTGACAACAGTTATTTTAGTAAAAAATATTTACTGAACCCCCAAATGTTAAATATTTTTCACATTAATCCTGAAGCTTTGAGACAATAAGTATCACTTTAGACATAAGCTTGCTGTTACGGGCGAACCACGATTTGGGACAGTAGTTTCCGAGTTACATCCTCGTAGTCAACGTTGTAATACCACCAATGCCGTGGACACGCCCGTGTGCCGTCGAGGACAGAGTGGGAATATCATTTGTAAGACAGCTACAGCTAAATAAGTGCATCCTGGCCCTATGCAGCGTAGAAGCAAGCAAGATTCTTAATAAATAAATCATCAGATATGTCGTAAACGTCCCGGGTACGCCGACGACAGCGTCACTTGGCGATAGCAACACGGGTGCCACAGCACGGCTACGACAATGGTCTTGGCCAGCACTCATATGTCACATTTGTTTACCTGGGAACTCCACCAACACAACAAGACACAGGTACTCATACCAGTATACCAGTCGGGAGGATATGAAGGAATATCGTACCGTGGTATGTGTAGTGTACACAGTTACTGAATCAAATGACAACTGACTGGAAATAACACGATTACTGGACAAGACTTGAGGTAAACAGGTAAAGCCAAAGATATAGTTACCTGACTTAAGTTGAAGTACAACACTCAAGACAACATGATAGTAAACAGTGACAACGAAGGTTCCAGCATACCTCGTCAATGTAGGAAATCCGAACACAGTGTGGCGAGGTACTCACTACAAATATGTAGTGTCAGGTCGTTTTCCTTTCCATCTGCAAAGTTTCTCCTATCTATCGCCCTCTCTCTCTCCCTTCCGCACTCCTTCCATCTCTTCTGTGGGAGAAATCCTTCTAGTTTCGGCGTCTTTCTAAACACACATTTATACTCCGTTCTGACGTCACAGCGTTAAATATAGTCGACCGAGCTGACGGAAAATACCTGTGACGCGTGAGCCACGTCCTCTTCTCATTGGCTGGGCCGTCTTCCAGCCCTCTGCCAAAGCTAACACTAGATCCATTCAACGTTTATGAGTACTACGTCATCAAAAGCGGGCTCCTGCAATTTTTAGGGGCTGATCTTGGCGCTTTGCCCCGCCTTTTGGTTGAGGGAATGTGGTGATGTTATGTGACGTCACAGAAACGCCGTTATTTCATGCTTTAGACTACAAACCAACTCGTCGCTCGTGGGAATACACTAGGCTGTATATAGTATTGATTTCGCTATTCTTAGACAATGCTCTGCGTAGGAAGTTCCCACGAATAGCGACAGCAGCGGTATGAGAACTGGCTGGTGTCTCTCTCCCCAAGCCTTTTGAAAGGGAAGAGGACATTACAAGCGCGTGCAATATTCGGCGCGTGCAGGTGCCAAAATCATGAAATTGGCGAGAAAGAAATACTTTCCCATGATTTAGGGGGTGAGGTGTAGGTGTAGAACAGCCTCGATACACCCCCTTCTCGTCGCCGGTTGACGGGTGGATGTTTGGACGTGGAACGTGCAATTACAGGTAAGTTGCATTTTATGTTGAAGGTTTTCTAGACATGGTTCCAGTGCTTGACAAACGTGCATTCGCAGGTTAAAATGCTTGATGATTCTGAAGATTTCATTGATACGTACACCCCCGCGGGATAAGCATTAATTTCAGTGTATATAAATATGTCTCATTGACAAAGGATAACTGGAGATTTATCAATGGAACAAAGCTGTGGCTATACCGACTGTGAACGGATAAAAATACACGCTTACGCTTGCAAGGTAACACGACAGCTGTGGCGGTTATATTAGACCGAATGGTCTTTGTTTATACAGATTTTGTAAGCGTCAAGGAGATAAATGGAGGGAATATCATTAATTTTGAACATATGTGCAAGTACAGAATATGAATTATTATTTTTTGCATGACGAAATAAAATTCTGTAACGGGTTTTTCGAAAATGACATTCAGTGAAGCGGACACGGTTAGCAAAAGGTTCACTGCACATCAATTTGATGACGTCATAGCTCTATGTGTACTCGGATGTCGTGTTTATGACGGTGGTAGGCGGGGACAATAGGCGGCGTGTTACGCCTCCTTCTGGTCGCGATCGTCCCCAGAAAACATATCCCATTGATGCTGGATTCATGCCAGGGAGGAAAATCTTGCATCCGATTGTTGAAACCAGCTTCTTCAACACCTGGTTGTATGATAATAACTATCAACCCACATATGTTCAAACCTTCAATGATATTGTGTGACGACGTAAGCACCTTTCACAATATTTTATAAATGGTCCGAAAGGCTCATGTTTCAGAATAATATTAAAACTATTTTTCTTGGATTGATTTTAAGAAAGTCTTCCTTCTTTTAAATTAAGACTACGTACTGATGGATGTCCTTTGAAGATGTTTAGTCAAGGGGCGCACTAGGATCAGCATCTTGAAGTCAACATTTTAAAATAATAAACTCAATTCTGGTTAAAATATCTAGAAATGCGTAGGATGGACACAGAAAGATGTTTACTTATTGCTGAATGATACACAAATATGCTGTAAACGTATCCAAACCTGATATTACAGTTTTACCATCTTCTGATTAAGATTGTCTGTAAAGATTTATACCTAGAATACCTGAAGTATACCTATACCTGTGTTATTTTAGTCACTGGGGATAGTTCGTATATTGTTCGTGTGTAATATCCAAACGATATTTCCAGAGATACCCACGTCAACCCACGGGACAAACAAGGGTGATTCGTCTCTGCTTCTATGACCTATACCTTGTACGTTTGAACTTCGTAGACACATTTCGATGTTACCTATTGAACCTACGTGTGTTTGACCACCGTTCCTACGTTCGTTTGGGTCACCCGTTAAATATTTCGGTTGAACATTTTCCTACAACACTGAAGTGATAAATGCGTTATACTTCTGGCATACAAAATGTTGTAAACCATATTTATGAGGAAGGCGCCATTGCCAAACATGCCATGCTGGCGTTCACCTGATGAAGGAGTAAGGATATACGCCGAAACGTTGTGTTCCTCATTATAAAGAAGCTGACATCCATAAACACTCTCTTCCTTATGTGTATCACTTCTAAATACCATTCAAAGACCCCATGCCGGAATGGTGTTTGTCTTCAGGAACGTCATTTTTATCAGTAGCGTTTCATGAATGGGATTTGGTCCTAACAACTAATGTTGGCCATAAGAGGGGTCCAAGTGGTTGGTCATAAGAGGGGTCCAAGTGGTTGGTCATAAGAGGGGTCCAAGTGGTTGGTCATAAGAGGGGTCCAAGTGGTTGGTCATAAGAGGGGTCCAAGTGGTTGGTCATAAGAGGGGTCCAAGTGGTTGGTCATAAGAGGGGTCCAAGTGGTTGGTCATAAGAGGGGGGGGAGGGCGGTGGAGTAGCCTAATGGTTAAAGCGTTCGCTCGTCACGCCGAAGACCCGGGTTCGAATCCCCACATGGGTACAATGTGTGAAGCCCATTTCTGGTGTCCCCCGCCGTGATGTTGCTGGAATATTGCTAAAAGCGGCGTAAAACCAAACTCAGTCAGTCAGTCAGTCATAAGAGGGGTCCAAGTGGTTGGTCATAAGAGGGGTCCAAGTGGTTGGTCATAAGAGGGGTCCAAGTGGATTGGGGGATCTGGTTTGGTTACTGGATTGGTTGCATGTGATCGTAGCCCAACGCCGTGGGTGGCTCTTCACAATGTCCATCATTAGATTGTCTGTTCCAGATTTAAAGGTTGCCACCATATTGTTGAGTGAAGTTAAACAAACAAACAAACAACAGCATTAAAAACCAAAACACCCTGTGAAGTGATCGTTTGGGTAGCACTATACTTGTTAAATGGACTTTGGTTTAGGTAATATGATAAATCGGTTATGTATCTACGTCTGCACCTACATGACAATACTGAAATTTGTGTCGATAAACGTATGGGGGCTGCTAAATAATTGGAAGCCACATAGATCGTATTTGCGCAGTCGTTAAGATACACTTGACGTTTTTCAATTTATTAGCATACGTTGAATGCTAGTGATATGCTTGGCGACTCTTTTCCATGTTCATTAGAAATCTCTGTCAAGGGCAGAGGCAATTGTAAGTCTTCGAACCAGTTTGGGATAGCGATGGTACAAGGTGTGCAACGGAGAGGGTATCGGGCAGAATTAGAATTGGTCTTCAGCAACCCATGCTTATCGTAAGAGGCGACTAACGGGATCGGGTGGTCAGGCTCGCTGACTTGGTTGACCCGTGTCATCGTATCCCAATTGCGTAGATCGATGCTCATTCAGTTGATCACTGGATTGTCTGGCCCAGACTCGATTATTTACAGACCACCGCCATATGGCTGGGATAAAAATAAAATCACTCACTCAGTCATCAACAGATCGTGCCGTCTTGTCAAGAACACCAACAAGACATTAGTGTGTCATCAAAACCAACACACAAAACGTTGCCCTGTCGAAACCAAACTACTAACACGTTGTTGTTTTATCAAAACCACAAGCAAAACGGTGTTCTGTCGAATCGAAAGCACCAGCAAACCGTTGGTGTCTTGTCACAAGCACCAACAAAACGTTGCCCTGTCGAAACAATATTACCAACGGAACGATGTGTTGTCAAATCGTGTCAAATCGAAAACACCAGCAAAGTGTTGGTGTCTTGTCAAAACCACCACCAAAACGTTGCCCTGTCGAAACAAAACTACCAACAAAACGATGCTCTGTCGAATCGAAAGCACCAGAAACCGTTGGTGTCTTGTCACAACCACCAACAAAACGTTGCCCTGTCGAAACAATACTACCAACGGAACGATGTGTTGTCAAATCGTGTCAAATCGAAAACACCAGCAAAGTGTTGGTGTCTTGTCAAAACCACCACCAAAACGTTGCCCTGTCGAAACAAAACTACCAACAGAACGATGCTCTGTCGAATCGAAAGCACCAGAAACCGTTGGTGTCTTGTCAAAACCAGCAACAAAACGTTGCTCTGTAGAGTCGGAAGCACCAGAAAACCGTTGGTGTCTTGTCAAAACCACGAACAAAACGTTGCCCTGTCGAAACAAAACTACCAACAAAACGATGCTCTGTCGAATCGAAAGCACCAGAAACCGTTGGTGTCTTGTCACAACCACCAACAAAACGTTGCTGTCGAAAAAATACTACCAACGGAACGATGTGTTGTCAAATCGTGTCAAATCGAAAACACCAGAAACCGTTGGTGTCTTGTCAAAACCACCCACAAAACGTTGCTCTGTCGAGTCGGAAGCACCAGAAAACCGTTGGTGTTTTGTCATCAAAACTTTACCCTGTCGAAAAATGCCACAGTTGACACAATCCTTACAACTTGACACTTGAGTGAAAGCAAGGGGCACTGCCATGGTGACTGCATGTTTTCGACGTTCGTAGAGATGATGGTCTTCCTTCTTTCGAAACACATCTAGGTACATCAGTTCTCTCATTACAGAAAGGCTGGTGCTAACGTGAATTGAATTGTTAGCTACATTGGTAACATCCAATATTATATAGGAGTTCGAAGTCATCAACGTCACATTCAGAAGAAACACTTGTTTACAATCAGATCATAGCAGGAAGTTACACCATGGAAGCGGTTAGCGTATCGCTGATTGGTCGAAACAGCCAGCACGTGTTATTGACGTCACGAAAACAGTTTCTCTGTGTACATGGCCACGGAATAACGTCTTTTATAACAGCACTCAGTTGACCCGTTTCTTCGGATCTTGTTTACAGTTACATTGAAAGGAAAACCTACAACCCCATCCAGTCTTGCCGTCCCATAAAGGGACAATATGTAACAACGAATAATTTGTGGTCTGGATGTGATAATTATCAACTATAAGTCACACGAACATGCCAATGAAACAGGGATATATTTATGTTCTGAACCT